CCATTGGCTCCCAAACATCTTTTTTTTGATTGACACTTGTGTATAAAATCTGCAAGAATGTGTTGGATTGATTTGAATTTCCATGCATGTCCCCTTCCCTCCTGCTGGGTGCCCAGTATAACCATGTTTAGAACCAGGAACCTGTAGTACACTGAGACATACTCGCATAGTCCCAGCTGAGAGGGGCCTAACTTATCAAGCTGGGGGAAGGAGACGCTAAGCTTGAAGCTTGGATCAGCTCCTGGAGATCGTCCAAGAAACAGTAACCTAGAAGGCAGCTGGGAGAGGGCTGGCCGTCCAGGGATGTGCCGGGACATGGAAAGGGACTGCAGCGGCCAAACGACACCATGTAACAGCTATTTGATCTGCTCCCAATATTGTTTCATAATAAAGATGATGGCTTACCATTTGGCCTCCATGTTTTCCTGGTGCTGTGGGGATGTTGTTTGGGACTCGATCCAGTGCTGCTTACAGAGGGACCGATTCACTCCACTTCCAGCATAAACTGGGATTTGGTGTTTAAAAAAACACACCACAGGTATTTAGTGAGCGCAGTGAGGGGAAGAACAGGCTAACAGAGGTAACACACCGCATCAGTCCAGGGCTGCAGAGAGCTCCCTGCTGTTGGCCTGAAGAAAAGCAAAGTTATAACATTCAAACTATCAAATCTCTGTTCACACCAACGGACCCTTTATCTACAGCTCGGTGAATAATGGAGGCCCACAGTAGTTCTGACAGTTGGCAGCTAAACTAAATGCTATAAGCACATACAGATAAAATTGTGCCATACAATAGTAATGGTAGCATCTACCAACACTAGATTTAGATGGTGAAAACATATGAAAGACTAGGGGACTCTCAGCTGGGCAATATCTGCCATTTGAGCCAATATGAGAATCGAGCTGTTTTATGGCATATTAACTGTAATGGTTGTTGGGTCTGCGCTTCCACCTGCTGCTGGTTTAGAGACTCATTCCCATTAAGGAAGCAAGACGAACAGCGATTTTACTTGCACAAGGGAGGATCTCAGAGCAGCCCTTCTGCCCTCGTTCAGACCACTTCCACCCCGGCCTCCGCTTGCCGCCTTTCATTGAAAACAGAGTACACACAGCACCACCCATTGTAAACCCCCCTATGGTTATAAAAGATAAGGTACTGTGTGTGTGCACGTGTAAGCACGTGTGTGTATGCATGTGTTTGGGGTTGTGTTTCTGTGACCTGCTGCCCACAAAAAGGTCATAAAGGCAGGAAGTTTACTAACCTCATAGGACCTGTCGTCCACATGTGTGGACATCACATTTTGGGTTATTTAGACCAAAATACTAAATTTTGCTCTGCAAGGGCCTGATGTCCACTGACGAGGACGTTATGCTGCTGCTGTTCTATCGAACTTCTAAACACATCCTCATATGTGGCTGTCGTTTTTCTCAGAAACCAAAATCAGGTAAAAATAAATAAATAAATCTGGTAATTCTTTGTTTTTACATTCACCAGGTCCCAATCAGCCCAAATATCAAAGAGAAATTAAAAATGCTGCTGTGGAAGAGTTCAGGTCTCAGGAGGCTAAAGAAAACAGAAGCCTCACATAGGATGTGCCTGTAATAAACACTACAGCCTCCCCACCGCTCAGCAGGCTGCGGACGGCGTCAGAAACAAAAGAATGTCTTTGATCATACAGTTTGAACTAACACAAATTTAAGTAACACAATGACAACATTTAACAATTTGACTCCAACAATGGTCAAGTTGGATAAATGTATTCAAACCAGGACACGCTCCATTCAATGACTCTGGGTATTCAAACAGTGGAGATTTAGTGCAAATGACAATGAACTCAGCATTTCATGGCTAACATGACTTTATTTGGGCCTGAGACTAGTTTTTGCCTCCGTGCAGCAGACGTTATACATGTAAGGATTACTGCTTCTACTACAGGCAGCTCCAGGCTTTGAGATGTCCAGTAAGCAGGTCACAGTCACAATCGATGACCTGAAACTTTGATTGGATGCAAATGAAGGCGTGAAGCTGCCCTCGACAGTGCACCGCCTGCTGCACCTCACCTCTGTGCAGGTGGGGTGGCTGCAGCTCAACGGGCACAGCAGGTCTGCTCACTGCAAGGTTGGTGTTTTGATCCCTGGCTGCTCCAGTCTGCAAGCCAACATATTAACCTCGTGTTGTTCTCCGACGCATCAATCAGAGTGTGAATGTTAGAAAGAACTTAAGCACAGTAAAAAGTCATTGAATGGGCGAATGAGGCGCGTTGCAGTAAGGCAGAGAAGAAAAGTGCTGTATAAGAACCAGTCCAGTTACTGCTGAACAGTATTATGGGCTCATGTCGGGCCATCAGGCCAGCCTCATGTCTGTTTTTGAGTGACTGATCAGAGACATCCACACAGCGACCTGCTGGAGGTCATTTTGTGCTCCTCCTCTTCTTCCTTACAAATACCAGTCCTGCTGATGGGTTCAGGACCGTTTGCAGGTCTGCCCACCTCTTCCTGAGACTGTGCTTGGAGACACAGTTGGACTTCCTCTACAGCGTCTGTAGGGACATTCTGGTCTTAGCCAAACGTAAAACTTGAAAGCACAGCACTCAGCTTCTTCACTGCTCGGGCTGACAGAGACGGCAATGAGAAAAAAGGTGGTGCAGTCCAGAACATGTTCCTGTGACTGTCTCACCTGACAATGAACTGAGCGTTTCACACGTTATTTACTGGGAGAACTCTCGTCTGCTGTATTGATCAGTGTTTACTCATCACCACCAGCTGGTGGAGGCAGCAGCCTTACACTCAGCTGACCTACAGTGTAAACACTCAGAAGTGGGATTCATGTTTGAGCAGACGGAGGGTGTCTGCTCCTCTCCAAGGCCGGCCCGTCGGCCTGCAGTGCTCTGCTGTCAGTGTGCAGAGTAGGTGCTACAACCGGTCGGTGGCTTCCTCGTGTTGGTTTGTGAGCCAGACGCAAAAGAGAGCAAAGTTACACCTTACAAAGAGCTGAAGCCAAACAGTGTTCATGAAAGTGTGCGCTACATCCAGTGTCTGTGCTTGTCATGGTTTATGTTTTCACAGTGAACTCTGCTATCACTCCATCAGTAATGGGGGACATTTAAAAGCTGACGTGTAAACCTACGCACACAGATCAGTATTTAAGGTTTGAATACTGAGAAAACCTTTGCTGATGCCTAATGCGTCAGGAGTATCGGAACAGTTAAGACACACTTTCTTTAAACGCAGCATCTCTGTGGCCAAAAACTGGTCCACCCCAAGGATCGGGTCCCCCAACACAAACAGAGTAGTGCACGCTGTTAAGAGCCAGGAGGACTGCTATGAGAATGGTACTCGTGGCCATTGATCATTGATCAGTGTTGTTAATCAGTGATCATGACTGTTTGCCTATTAATGATCAACAAACTGACCTCACAGCCCTTTGTTCCTTCACTGGGCTGGTTTCAGTCATCGTGCAAATGTTTATAAGATTGGAAACCTGCAGTCAGCTGAGACTGAAGACGTCACCTGATGATGATGATGATGATGAAACGTTTCTCCCACTGGAAACTTCCAGATGAACACAATCAGCCTTTAGGATCAGCTGTCACTCCTTGCTCTGCTCGGGCCCACCAGTCGCTCACACCATGCACTTCCAGTGACTCTGCCAACTATCCAGCAGTATGTGGGCTGTAAAACACAGGACAATACAACTCTGGAGCCACGGGGAGACAGAACAATGCTGCAAGCCCTGATTGCATCAGTCCCAGGGTCCTGCGATCTCTGAGGCCCAGCCTTCATCCTTCAGCATCTCTTCAACCTGAGACTCCTGCAGCAGAAGTTGTCGAACTATGGAAGACATCATGTTTAGTTCCAATACTAAAGAAAGACAGACCAGACTGGTTCTCATGTCATGAAGGTGCTTGGAGCGGTTCTTGCCCAGTTTAGCCTGCAGGTGAAACCTCTTCAGTTTACTCACCACGACAAGAGCATCCCGATCGTTGACTCTTGCTGTCCTGTGAACAACATCGGCTTCTGGGTGGCACATGTTTGGAATCATGTATGATTTTCGTTCCACTTCTCACGTGTGCACCACTTTGTGTTGGTCTTTCACGTGGAAGTCCAATAAAACTGATTCATGTTTGTGGCTGTAATGTGACAAAATGTGGGAAAGTTCACGGGGGCCCAATACTTTTGCATCCACTGTAAGAAGAGCATGAGCAGACTACTTTCTAAGGAAGCTCAGATCCTATAATGTGTGCAGAAGGATGTTGGGAGGTCTTCTACCAGTCTGTGGTAGTGAGTACCAACGATGCCAGTGCCAGAGGTCCCAGCAGGATCAACAAACTAACCCACGAGGTCTACTTGATATATAAAATATAAGTCATGAAAATAAAGATTCATACATGAAACACAAAAGTCAAAGTGCACTTTTCCCACTGACAACATCCAGATGAGCAGAACTTTTACTTGCCTGGATGATTGAAACAGATTTTGTCTTGATGTCTGCTCAGAGTGTGTGAAGGGGCCTTCAGTCGCTTGTATTTATGCCCACTGTTAAGAGGCAGGAAGCCACTGCAGTATTCTCCTGAGCGACAGCTGTGTCACTCAGACGTACGTGCTGGTAAGAGGAAGGAGTCACGTTCTTTCCACAAACTCAACTTTTCAAACAGTTCCAACACTGTGTGTGTGTCAGTATGTCTCTGAGCTTCTGTGCAGGATTATCATTAAAACTGTAGTAAACACTGGCACCATCGCACACTCACGCCTTTAATCCAGCTGTGACGGCCGCGCACAGCGTGCCACCTTACAAAAATCAAGAGGTGCACAGCTGACCGACGCAACACAAACACTGTGTTCCAGTCCCAAACAGCCTTAAATCCATCACGGACAGCAAACTCACCTGTTCACCTGCAGAGTCATGCACCCTCTAAATAACACAGTTAGTATAAACAGGAGATTTCATCATCAGTTGATTTTTAACATGGCAAACAACCCTGACAAAAAACAGCCAAAACAGACAAACACAGCATCTGTTTTTATTTAGATTTCGTGCAGCTTCCCACAGATGGATGCAGAAAGTCAAAAACTGGCACTTTAAGATAATTAAGGCATTTGTTGTTGGTGATCAGGTTTACGCTGCAAGTGGTTTGAAAGAAACAACAAAGAAAAAAAGTTCACCATCATTTATTCCCCAGAGCTGTTCAGTTCTGATGTTTGATGACAGCAGACAGAAAACGGTTTCAACATGAAAATATGAGCTTTGAAATACAAAGAACATATCTATAAAGACTACTGAAGCTCTCTGTAGTTCCACACATCCAGACCTGAGATAGTTCAAAAGTGTCCCTGCTCAGCAGGTGGAAGCCAGGGCCATGAACACACATACAGCTCCTTTATTCTAGAATGAGCCAGACTGAAAACTACCAAACATACTTATGATGGGAGCTCTGAACATATGTTGCTGATTATTTTAGTAAAATGATTCATTAGTTTAAAACAGTGTTGCAGTGAACACTGCCTTCATTAGACATTTCTACACAGTGTATCATGTGCTGCTCTGACAGCCATCCTCAGGCTAGACTCAGAGCCGGTCATGGACAGTCCCACTCATTAAAGGCTGCTACGAGCTAATTGGATCAGTCTCAGTTTGTAGGGCAGCATAAAGTCGTGTTACTACAAACATCAGTGGTAACTGAGCAACTTTTGGAAGCTGAGGGCAGTCACAGGTCTCTGAAGGCACAGAGCTGCACTCTCTCTTGGCAATAGAGAGCCAGCACAGATGGATCTTTGAGAACACTCAGCTCGTGCTGCCTGTCAGCAGACTGGGAGAAGTCGTCGGGGCCCTCTCCACAGCCTCCCTCCTTGGGGTGACTGGGGTACCCCGGGTGGACCATGAGCTCAGCTGTGACCACAGGCTGATGTGAACCCTGCACAGAGCTGGAGGTAGAGGATGAAGGGTTTGCAGCCAAGGCGTAGCTGAGGGCCCTGTGCAGGCTTGGGATGGACATGTTCTGCCCCATGGTGGTCAGTCCCAGGTACACATCTGGCCACCTGTGGAGGAGGAAAATCGTTACGATTCATGTTTATCATATGTGCAACATCAGAAACGCTCTACAAACTCTCTTGTCCTCCAATTGTCCAGTTTCCTTTATTTAAAGACACTCTCCACACTCTGCCCAGCAGCTCTTTGGAAACTCTAATGAGACACTTAAGCCTGTCACAACATCTTAGCAAAGATACTGAAGTTTTTTGCTAAAGGCAGCTAGTCCTTTACTAAGTTTCAGCGTTATGTGTAGAAACTCTGGTTCATCGCTGTGTCCTGAGTCAGGTGTCTTTCCTGTGCTTGAGTCACAGGTCAGTGTTGAGTAGCTTCCTCTGAAAACAAGCATCACACTGAACAAATGAGTGAAACGCTGCCAGTGTTCAGAGGAAGACTTCAGACAGTCTGGAGCCAAATATAAAATCTAAGAAAGTGTGGTGAGTTTGGACAGCACTGTGAAACACCACCAGTGACACTTAAGCTTGATGCTTAAACTCAAAGTAACTGTAGAGCTGACTGGGCTCATCTGCACAGACAACAGGACAAAGAGCAGGCAACATGAGAATTATTTCTGAGGACTAAAAGAAAACACGAGCGCCCCACAGAGTCCGGCTGTGATGGAGAATAGAGGTGGTCACACCAAATACTGGGTTGTGTGAACTCTGGTTTTGCCTTAGGTGTGTTTTTCATGTATGCTCACAAATTTGTATAATTGCTGCATTTATTTCCTGTTTTTGTAGCAAACTAAGTAAATCTGTCTTTGTTCTAATACAGTAATGTGCAAAAGTCTTGAGCTGTGCCATCGTTTATCTAACAGACATGGAGCCAAAGTCCAGCCCTGCTGCTTCCACAGGACTTCAGAGGGAAGCGTGTGCTGGTAATACATGCACCATATAAACTGATCATCAATAAGTATGAACGCTTCTATAAAAGCAGAAGCTTTTGCAGGTTTGCATTCAGGTGTGTGTTAGTATAGAAATACAGGCAAAGACAGCAGCACGGATCTGAAAGATCATGAATCACTGCTGCTTTCTGCACAGAAGCCACCTCGACAAAGATCATCCCAGGAGTGGACGTCACTGCAAAAACACTCCGACTCTACAGGGCTACAGCAGCATGGGTCAGGTTTGCAAAAACCACAATGTGCTCTGGAAAGCAGTGCTGTGCAGGTCCATACTGGAACCCACTCAGCTGAGGCATGTGTGGGGCTAGCTCAGCTCCAGGAACTTAAAACTACAGAGGCCCGTTTGTTCAAACTGCAGAGCCTTTAAAGTTTATTATGCAGAGTAGGTCTCCGTTAAATATACAGCGAACATGAAGCTTTAGAAAATAAAAGTACAACTCACAATATTTCATAGATGAATAAACAATAACGTGTGTAAAATGTTTCTCAGCATTATTATTGTTTTCAGTTACATTTGTTTTTACTTGAATATTTTGAAATGCTGGTAATGACTTTTTTAGGATTTCTGTTTCCTGTGTGATAATTCTGGACAATGAAGCAATAAGACCGAGAAGTTTCATGTCGTGTGTTCATCATGAAGGTGCAGTTTAAAAGTGTCAGTGTGGGATCAGACAGGGGTGTGTTTCTATTGGAGGGTGCACAGACGCTTCAAGCTAGCACGGTGGCGTCTGTTGGCCTCTCCGTGCTGAGGTGCGTCTGCATCTGGGCTTTGTTTAAATATCGTTTCAGGTTTATTCAGTTTAAACCTCGATAAGGACTCGATCACATTTATGTCCTGACATGTAAAACCTTAGAGATGACTAGTGTTGGGAAGGTTACTTTTCAAATGTATTCCACTACAGATTACAGATTACATGCCCCAAAATGTATTTTGTAACGTATTCTGAATACTTTGGATTACTTAATATATTATCATGCTTTTTACAACCACATGAATGTGCTATTGCTGTGTGATTTATTACTATTACAGGTTACTCTCCACACCAACACCAGCTAGATGTTTAGACCTTAATATAAATGAGTAACAGTAGGTGGACATTAGGTAAGGCTGCACTTTTTGCAGTGATCTCGTGTAGAAAACTATTCAGCGCATATATAAAACAGGTCCGCGGCTCTGAACCGTAGTAAAGGGACCTCTGGCTGATACGTCGGGTTCGTGTCGGCTCGTAGCTGAAAACTAGCTTTACTTTGTTGTCTGGGTCGACTTTGCTAGCAGAGACAGAGAGAGGCGTTGAAAGGCTGCTTATTGTTTCAGAGGAAAACACGAACACGGCGTACAGTCGAGTCTTAACAGCTTACTTACAGCTGGGCTCGTCAGGCTCTCTGTTTGGCTGCAGTGGTTATTATTATATTTACATGCTTCCAGCTCCCGTTTCTGCTCGGTGACAGCTCTACTTTTCCTTTTCCTCCCTCCCTCGCTCACAGACACATCACGGGTATGACAATCCATCCTCCCTGCAGCACGGACTACACTGCCCATCAGGCTGCATGCTTTAGGGCCTGTAACACTCTGCCTGTTGCCTTCATGTTAAATCATTTTTAAAATGACATTATGAGACGCGAGGCTGAGACAGACATCAGAGCCTTTTATTGTGTGTTTTGTTTGGGTTTCCACCAGCGTGGAATTACCAAAAACAGAGGGCATAGCCGAACATGTGAAGCAGGAAAAGAGCGCTGTGTAATCCCTTATTTCAACAAAGTAACTGTATTCTGAATACCACCCTTTTAAACGGTAACTGTAACGGAATACAGTTACTCATATTTTGTGTTTTAAATACGTAACGGCGGCACATGTACTCCGTTACTCCCCAACACTGGAGATGACACTCACTGCATATGTGTGGTTTAATTTGAAGCCTGGTCTAGTCCCAGCAGTTTCATACAAACAGACCTGATTCCATGGCGTCTGAACACTGGGATGGCATCCAGAGCGTCCTTCTCCACCTGCTTGTAGAATTTGTGCAGGTGTGCTGGTATCCACGGGCAGCTGTATAGACCCGGCTCCACGGGAACACGAGTGTAGGGGATCCTGAGATCTGAGACAACCTTTGCAAACACTTCGCGGACCTCTGCACAGACGACATAACACGAACATTTCACTGCTGTCATCTTCTTAATGGAGCCAACAGCTAAGCGCTCACTGAACTGAATCCTACATATGGAAGAAAAGCATCAGTGGAACAACAGCTAATAGCAAAGCTCTGTGTTGGAGCCCAGCAGGACTTCTCTTTGTTTCTCAGCTAAATTATATTTCTGCCCATATAATCATTGCTCTTTTACATAGCATATTATTAACTACTCAAACTTTTTCACTGGTCAGATGACAGGATGCTTGGTTTGTTTTCTATTATAAAAACATTTTTTAAATTAATGAATCTGATTAGTAGAACCAAAATCAGCTGCCTCAGTACAAACAAACATTAACGGTCTCCTCCCTTCAGTTCACATTTACCTGCTAACTCAAAAGCAGAGACACACAGGTGCACATTTGCATGATTAATCTGTACCATAACTCCATGGGGACGTGTTGGAAATAACCTGAAACATGCTATATCACCACAATCAGCCATCAATGTGTAAATGCTGTTGACTCTAGCAGCAAACAGCATTACAGCTTTGTCTCTTCATCCTCTGATCCTCTGACCTGGGAGGACGTGAACATGTTGGTGTCCGTCCATGTGCTCGGGTAGGTGACCATTCAGCTCCACGAAAAGCCCGACCTGGGCCCTCAACTCCAGCTCCACCTTGGAGGAAACAAAACACACCTGGAAACAGCTGTGATGGAGACACATGACTTCAAAGACAAAGGTCGTTTTAAAATCTGAGGCTGGTGCTTTTGCAACTCAGCAATAACAACGTGACAGCTGTCCCCAAGTTCAAACTGGTACTGTCTGAAGACGCTTCAGTTTCATTCACAAAGTGCTGAATCTCCGCAGTCGGCTTCAAGTGTAAAAATGAAATAACAGAATCCGCCAGCGATCAAACTGGAGTCTGTTAGATCTGCTCGGTGTTATTCAAACCACTGCAGCGCTCTAATCTCGGTAATACTGTGGTCAGTATTGGTGTAGCTCATGAGGCAGAGCGGGTCATCTACTGATTGGAAGGTTGGTGGTTCGATCCCTGGCTTTCTGCTTGGGCAAGATACTGACCCCAAGCTGTATGAATGTTGGTTAGGAAGCACTTACAGAAAAAAGTGCTTGTATGAATGTGGCGTGTTGTATAAAGCGCTTTGAGTGCTCAGAGTGGACATAATAAGTATATATAAGAACCAGTCCATTTTTTCTCTAACTGTAAAATTGTATTTGTAAAGGAGGACATTAATAGTTAATGTTAAAGGAACATTCAGTTCAACAGAGTTCAGACGCTCCTTCAGTGCTGAAGGCAAACCTGTGGTTGTTCTTATTCAAAGGGCTCTTTTTAAATGAAGCAACAACCTGTTTTTCCAGGCTAAATAAAAACCTTCTAAATTAACGAGACGCTTTGTCCTCTCCAGCTTACAGGTCATCTGATTCCATGTGCGTGTCTGAGAGTTACACCTGGGACTCAGGTACCTGTAATGTGAGGCCTTCGTTTGCAGAGGAGCTGCAGCATCCAGAGTGGTACACAGTGAGGAGGTAACACTACGAGATAATCGACCTCTGTGGGAGGAGCTGCTCTGCACTGTGTTTGCATACAGTAATGAAGAGAGTAGCAGTGGAGAATGAAAGTAATCTCCTGTAATCAAATGTATCCCCACTGCTGTGTAATCCATTACTGTAAACTGAAATGTTAAGAAATGATCAGATGAGACTGTTTTTCAGGAAACACTATTAAATGTTCAGTTTCTGTATGTCTGGAGAAGACAGAGCCCACTATCACTCCTGTCACACTCCACCACCTGACAGGTGGGAAACACAGTCCCACCTGTCACACCATGTGACCTGCTCTCACATACCGCTAACATTTGTTTACCTGTATCTTGATATTTTAAGATCATATAAAGATGCATAAAAATGTGTAACATTATGTATTTTATACTGATCTTTATTTTTCACTGACAGTGAAATTCTAGTTTTTAATGTCGTACCTGTTTCATGCTGAGTTCTCCTCTCTTCAACGCCTGACGAAAGCCCATCTTCCCATGGAAGAAGCCATGCTGGTTTACGAGCGTGGAGGACTGCTGGAGGCTCGGACACACTGGTATGCCTTCAGACAGGTTGGCATGCAAGCCAATGGGAATGTTGTGTCTGACACAGGAACAGCACAGCTCTGTTAAACCATGCGATGCTACAGCAGGCAAACATTTGTCTATGTTCAAAGGCACAGTCACTCTGTTCTCGATTATAAATACAACATCTGTATCGAAATACAGCTGTGAAAGAGAAAATCCACTCCTTCTTTGAAATAGTCTTTTTGTTTTTTCAACGACTGTTTCACATCATCACAGAGGAAACGTACTGCTTCACAACAGCGCTGCTTTAGTTCATCGAGGTTTGTGGGCGTATGTTTATGCGCAGCTCTCTCAAGGTCCCGTCACAGTTGGGTCCAAGTCCAGAGTCAGCCACTGTAACACCTTGGTTCATTTTTTTGTAGATATTCTGTTTTTGATTTGATGGTGTACATGGAAAGAGTAATTGTATGATACAGTGTCAGCCAGGCTTTATTCAGGGACAGATTCAATTCAATTTTATTTATATAGCGCCAAATCACAACAAAAGTCGCCTCAAGGCGCTTCATAGATACAGAGACAAATCCAACAATCATATGACCCCCTATGAGCAGCACTTTGGCGACAGTGGGAAGGAAAAACTCCCTTTTAACAGGAAGAAACCTCCAGCAGAACCAGGCTCAGGGAGGGGTGGGGCCGTCTGCTGTGATTGGTTGGGGTGAGAGAAGGATGGCCTCACAGTAAGCTTTATAATACTGTGGTACACAGAGGAGTTCATGGTCAACTAGCAGTGAGATACCCGGGTCCTATGGCTGCAAAACGAGCTGTAATCATCCCCCAGACTGTCCCACCAATCGCCCTTGGTCTGGAGCACCATGCAGGATCGTACCTCACAGAGTGATGATAGTCATGAAAAAGGTGGTGGATCAGTCCAAAAACATGTAGCAGGAGCTGGTTAATGATCTGACGGCAGTTCGGACCACAGTCACCAACAACACCACGGGTAACGTACTACATTATAATTGTTTGTCCCCCTGCTCAGGAAGACACATTTATAGGCTTGTCTGAAGTTCTAAATGATTCAGAGAAGAAAGTGCTGTGGTCAGAAACTAAAATCAACTCAACCTCAGAATTGCTGAGGTTCACCTAAAGAACACTATTCCCATAGTTCCCAGTGGCCTTTTACTTTGCTCTTGTGCGATGACCTGATCACGGTGCAGCTCCACTGTTACATGTGAGATCAACTGTCATTGTCAATCAATATCCTCATCCACACAACTAATGCCCCCAGCTGAACCAGGGTGTGGTGAACCAGGATCTACGTGCAGCCTGAGTCCACCATTGCATGCATACCCCCTTGGCACCTTACTGGTACACTGCACGTCTCACGCAGACCAGTGAGAAGTGTTACAGGGCTGGAGATACCAAACACCTGTCCCACATCCATGCACGGTCACTGTCTGTGGAAGTGTCCCTGTCCTCAACAGCCATCGGCTATTGAGGTGTAGTGTCTGCGGCCACTGGGACCTGAGCAGAAATAGAGGGAGAAGGGTGATGGGTCCCAGAGCCGCTTACTTGTTCCATCAGTTGCGTCCGCTCCACCGACTCTTGGCCATTACAACGGGTGGTCCAACATCAGTGTCACTGTAATGTCGAGGCTGATCAGTCGGTGGCAACAGACCAACTCCGCTGTGCCCGCCTGAGGCCCCTCCATCACCATGAGCTCTGCCAGCCAAGCCTCCCCTTTCCTGGGACCAGGTTGTAGCTTTTGGTTTGCATATTATGCAAGGCCCTTTCCATACGCCAAGCTGCTCGGCGTATGGAAAGGGCCTCATCAGAAGCGGCAGCGGCGGTTCTCTAGCACAAGGCCCAGTCGGTCCATAGTCACCCAGCAGACTTGCGCAAAACAGGCAGCTGATCTCCATCTTGGAGATCAGCTGTTCTGGTCAACCACACCCCTCGCCTGTAGCTGAGCCACGAGCCACACCCCACCACTTTAACTTGAGTAGGTACTGAAAAAGAGTTGTTTATTAACCAAGATAAGGATTCTGCAATCATTCCCTTTAGTTATTTAGTTCTTTGCTTTTCTACTGTACTCAAAGGACTTTACACAACTTGCCTCATTCACCCACTCAGACAAGCACTTCTATTTTTTATGTAAGTGCTTACTAAGTAAAGTGCTCTGACTGCTCAGAGTAGAAAGGTGCTATATCAGAACCAGCCCATTTACTAACCAACAATCACACACACATGCAGCAATGGATTCGTCAGAGAGCAACTTGGGGTTAGTATCTTGCTTTGGGATATTTGACATGGACACTAGAGCAGCCAGAGATCAAACCACCAACCTTCTAATTAGAAGATGACCTGACTGAGGTGCTTCCTTCTTTTAAAGACTATACCAGATTCTAAATTTGGCTCATCCTAAAGTTATCTTATTTTTCTCATTATCTTATTTTCTTTCTATATTGTCTTATTGGAATATCATTCGAACTGTAGAAGTGTAGTCGGATGATAACACACAGAGGAAAGGTTCAGAACTGAGGGGATCAAACTACCAGAAGGCAACATTGCAGACACGGAGAACAGCTACAAGTTCCTATGAATGCCAAAGGGAAATGGGAACCACAAACAGGCTGCTAAGAAACTTGCAACCGCCAAACACCTGGAAAAGTCAGGCAAGGCCAGAGGAGTCAGCTGAACGGTAAGAACAAGATCCGGGCTATCAACACCTATATCCTGCCGCTAATCAGGTACCCCGCTGGGATGATAAGCTGGCCAAAGGAGGAGATAGAAGCCACTGACATCAAGCAAGAAGAAGAACCATTATGGAAGGACAGGCCCAGGATGACATCCAGAAATCCTACCAGTGGCTGGACAAAGCTGGACTGAAAGACAGCACAGAGGCACTAATCATGGCAGCACAAGAACAAGCTCTGAGTACAAGATCCATAGAGGCTGGGGTCTATCACACCAGGCAAGACCCCAGGTGCAGGCTGTGTAAAGATGCCCCAGAGACAATCCAGCACATAACAGCAGGGTGCAAGATGCTAGCAGGCAAGGCATACATGGAACGCCATAACCAAGTGGCCGGCATAGTGTACAGGAACATCTGTGCCGAGTATAACCTGGAAGTCCCGAGGTCAAAATGGGAGATGCCCCCAAGGGTGGTGGAGAATGACCGAGCTAAGATCCTGTGGGACTTCCAGATACAGACGGACAAAATGGTGGTGGCTAACCAACCGGACATAGTGGTGGTAGACAAACAGAAGAAGACGGCCTAGTGATGTGTACGTTCGAATGACAGCAATATCAGGAAGAAGGAACACGAGAAGCTGGAGAAATACCAAGGGCTCAGAGAAGAGCTCGAGAGGATGTGGAGGGTGAAGGTAACGGTGGTCCCCGTGGTAATCGGAGCACTAGGTGCGTGACTCCCAAGCTAGGCGAGTGGCTCCAGCAGATCCCGGGAACAACATCGGAGATCTCTGTCCAGAAGAGCGCAGTCCTGGGAACAGCTGAGATACTGCAGGACCCTCAAGCTCCCAGGCCTCTGGTAGAGGACCCGAGCTTGGAGGGCCAAAAATGTTTTTTTGATATACTTTTTCAATAGTGCCGTCAGCGTTAATCTCGTTAAAATGACGTTAACGCCATAACCGCATTAACGGGGCAAATCTCCGTTAGTGAGTTAACACGGATCGCCCCGTGCAGGGGCTGCATGGCGCTAACACGTTAGCGTGCTTAGCTTGTTAACGGTTATGGCGTTAACGTCATTTTAACAAGATTAACGCTGACGGCACAACTTTTTAAACCTCTTGGATTAAAGCTGAAAGTCTTACTTCACTGTTTGCTTTGAAATTCACTGTGGTCATGTAAAGAGGAAGGAAAAAAAGTATGGCTCTAACTCTACTTTATTTATCCCTGAAACTGGGAAATTATTGTGTTACAGCTCCCGAAACGTTAAACACAATCCATAACAAAATAGCTTACATGTAGCCGAAGCACTAATAATTTAAAAGTGGCAAAACAAAACATTTAAATAAAGCAGTAAAAATATAAATAAATATATAAAAAGCATGAGAAAAGCTAAAGAGAAAAGAGAAAACAAGCCCAAAAAGTTAAAATAGGTGGTAAAGAATTTCTTTGTGTGTCTTTCTGGCAGCAGAGCTTAAAGAGATATATGAGAGAGAGCCGGTGCAGTGTGTAGTGCAAAGGAAAATGAAAGTAAAAAAATAATACCAGAGTTACAAAACGAAAAGACGTGGAAAACAAAGCAAGTCTTCAGAAACTGCCAGGACTAGCAGGAAAAAGTGAAAGATTTCTGGTCTCCTACACATTACATTATGTACTGTAAATGGTATTTTTGCAGTGTGTTAGATTTTACATATACAGTGTAAGGCTACGCTACCTTTTAGCCAGATCTGCCGCCTGTTTTGCAGCCGAGCCATTAACCAGCAACGAGACATTGGAGATGCCTCCAGCCTGGAAGCAATCCACAATCCCCTGGTTCCTCCTGGGACAGTAGCCAAAATCATCTCCTGTCACCACCAGCATCATTCTGGGCTGTGGCATTATTGCTGGTCTCTGTTGGCGACACACAGGGGACAGATTAACATTCATCATTATGGTGTCCATGGCTAATAATGACCAGGTTGTCCATTATCAGTGAACATGGACCCTGGATCCTCCGACTGTTCCACGTCACACGGTTTATTGATAAGAAAGACACGAAACACCAAACTGTTGTGGTTTTCAACAGTGCCTTTCATTGCTGCTATAGAACATGAAAGAGCAGTACGTCAGCAAACAGAAGCACATATCTGTCAATACACCAGCCACGTTTCTAAACTAGATGATGGTCTGATTTAAGTTTCTGTGCACATTTTAAGATTGCTCTACATCGCCAGCTGGACTATTAAAAACACATAAAACTGCAAAGTTAGTCTATATTAGCCCTTTGTGGTGATATACTTGCCCGATGCAGCTGCCCGCCCATAATCAGTGAAGTGCTGGGAAATCTTTGCTGAGTTACTGCGCTCTGTCCTTCAGTGCCTCTGGAGCTTCGGTTTGGGCTGCATTCTAATATGAACAGCTTCAGTCCGTGCAGGTAAGTACAGAGCATGATGAGCCAGACGAGCTGCTGCTTTTTACAGTGTAAAATTATCTGATCTACCTGGGCAAACACAGGAGCCACCTAGAAACCAAACAGTAACACCTTAACAAACATCTAAGGTGTGTTTACTATTTAGATCAGGTTTGAAAAAACACCCACAACACTCCTGTTAATCTTAGCCCCCATGTCTGTTAACCCAACTATATTCTACAGGTTCATGTTTACCATTATTCCTGAGTTACAAGCAAAGCCTGCACAGGTAGGTCATAAGTTTCTTTTTAAATGGTAACAGTAGTGTCCACAGATCTTTGGTCCAACAGAAGAAGAAGGCCACAGCCTCCAAAGGGCAGTCTCATTCTGTCTTCTGGATCGTGGTACAGCCAGCAATGCTCAGCAGACCTCAGAGATCTAGCTGGCACATACGGATGTAGCAGCTCACTGATCATGGAGGGGTCTCAATATGATCAGCACACTTTTAAACTGAGCCCCAAACTTTATGAGGAGGCAGGAAGACATAATCTGTCCACCTTAAGAGGACCCAGTGATAAGCCTGACAGCAGAGTACTGAAACACTGGTAAGTGATCCAGAGAGGACCTGCTCAGGCAAATGAACTACAATAATCAAGATGTAATGAAATAAAGGTATGTATAACCACTTTGATTTCACTTTGAGACACAGTGTATTTACGTTTGTAAAAGATAACCAACATGTTTTTCCAAACTGAAGCCTGATAAAAGGTGACGCCCAGATTTCTCAGAGTGGGGAAAACTGAAGTTGAAAGATGAAGATGAAAGGGGCACAGAGTTATTCAGGATGAATGCAAGTGTGAACATGAACTAAATTAGCAGAAGCAACTAAAAAGCTCCTGTGAAGGAGAGAAAGAAACTCCCTCAAGTGCTGATCCAGACATTCAAACACAAGCTCTAAATGTCTAAGACACCATTACATTTAAAGATGGAGCTGCCAGGGACGGAAAGAGGAACCACGGAGAAGCTTTATACATACAGTGAAAGAAGACACGCAGGGGTTGGTGTGACAGACGAATATGCTAGAGATGGGGTTAGATGATAGCAACTGATCTATAGCGTTATTTTTGTGCCACTATTCTGAACGCACGTAAAAAAAGTTTGCAGGTGCAAGTGTTGTATTTTGAGGAGAAATTTATTTTGAGCGAAGAAAAGCTGAATTTGAGTGAACAAAATTCATTCCTGCGTGCAAAAAATGTATTTCAGTGTTTGCTATTATCCACACACACACACACACACACACACACACACACACAC